GCCAGGGCCTCCCCACCCTCACAGGGAGGGATTCCTTCCCAATATCCCATCTAACCCTGCCCTCTGTCAGTGGGACGCCATTCCCCTTTGTCCTGTCACCCCAAGCCCTTGTAAATAGTCTCTCTCCATTTTTACTATAGGCTCCCTCTAGGTAGTGGAATAAAACAGCATTGTTGGAGGCTGGAATTAACTCTATCACAGAGCCCAGAACTGGGAAAATTACATTTAGGTCGGTTTGTTTATAACTACAGTAACGTTTACCAACTCCAAACTCACTGGATAAACTATGGCATTTTTGTAGTGTGGGGAGGAAGAGCTGAATCCAACACACCTGCATCCCATCCCAGTGCTTTAACCAGAGGCAACCTATCCCTTTGTCCTTGGTGGGCAGGATGTATGTAACCACTGAGCAGGTGGCTGCACACTAAGAAAGGGGGAAGGAAGAAGCTCAGTTGTTTGGCCAGGGAACTTTATCAGAAATAGGCCTCTTAATCCCTATTATTTCCCACAGCCTTTGGAGTCGAGTCAGGAATCCCAGCAATGAATAGGTGCACAGTTATCTGCAAGCTTTCACATCCTGACAGCTCTGGGCATTTCTCACTTTTGTTTCACATCAGGACCTTCTGCCAGGAACTGTTGGGAGAGAGAAGAAGAAGAAGAAAATAAATTATTAAAAAACCCCCATAGGTTGGTTGTGGAGAGAGAGAGAGAGAGAGAGAGAGCATGCAAGGATGGTGGCCAGAGGGTGTGGAGAACTGGATGTAACTTGGCTTTAATACCTCATACATACACTGCTCTGTTACACATAAAGCTAAAATGTGTGAAACAGGCTGTGCTGAACCAGTACAGCCAGGAATACACAAGCCAGGAATAGAAGGACTGAAATAATGAATGAAGGAGGATTCACAGTCCCTGCAGGCAATGTGATCATCTATGATATCAATGATATCAATGTGTGATTCCAATGTCTTAGGGGGGAGTTAGTCACTTTGTGTTGTTGATTGCCATAGAATCACAGAACATAGAATCACAGAACACAGAATGTCCTGATTGGAAGGGACCCACAGGGACCAGCCAGTCCAACTCCTGGCCCTGCACGGAACACCCCAACAATCCCACCCTGTCTTGAGAGCGTTGTCCAAACCCTCCTGGAGCTCTGGCAGCCTTGGTGCTGTGCCCACTGCCCTGGGGAGCCTGGTCAGTGCCAACCACCCTCTGGGGGAAGAACCTTTTCCTCATATCCAACCTAAACCTCTCCTGAGGTTCATGCCATTCTCTTGGGTCCTAGAGAAAATCACATCTTCCCAGCTCAAAATATCACTCATTCCACATGGGCTACAGATATAAACAGGTTGAGGAGGAAAACTAACAAAAAATGCATGTTATAGACAGATATATATACCATGGTGCAAAATATTTGTATCTCCTGCACCCTACTACTTAATCTTTCTCTCCTCCTCTGTAAAGCTTCATTACTACCAAATAACTAGAGCAGGCTCACAGGTTTTTTTGGTTTATCTTAAGTCTTCCAGCACAGGGGTTTTGTTTTCCACAATTTTTGATCTTCCTACCGTAATTTGGGCTGGTGGAAAACAAAAATAAAAGTGCAACTCAACCTCTGGGTTCTCAGCATGGGGGACCACCCGGGTCAGTACACTCAGTGGCACTGTCAGGTGTTCCTTCCCTGCCAGAATAACAATTAAATGCGCAAAATCAATTAAATGAGAAAAATAAATAAGGAGAATATTTGAGGGAGAATCCGGAGAAAACAGTCAGGGAATAAGGTTAGCTTATTATTTCCAGTAAATACACAACATATTACTGCAAACTCTCCCACCCTCTTGCATTAAGACTTTGTTGTTATTCTTGTGTATTTGTTTAATGCTGGGCTTTAAGCTTCAGATGTAATGAGCATCTCCCACACAAACTGAATCCAAGAGCTTCTCTGGACACTCAGCCCATCTGAACACCAGGACATACACAGCTACAGATCTATTAATATTTTATCCTGATATGTATTTTTAATCAAAAGATCTTAAAGTCCAGTAAAATCTCCAGTTTATATATTCCAGTCTTTAGATGCTTTCGTTAATAAATAGTTTATAGGATACAGATAGATCTTACACAAAAATGTCAAGATTGCAATGATTTACATGGATTTCTAGGATGATAACGATACACAAAAATAAATCTGTGTCTTAAAACTCAGCACCAAAACACAATTCACCATTTTAGAAAGACAGCTACAAGTGGATAAGTTTCCATAAACACAGTTACATTTTAATAATTTTTTTCAATTACACCATTGCAGTGTTCCCCGTTGTGGTGGTTTGAGCCACCACAAAAATCCAAAATCCAATTTCCAGGCTTCCCCCACCCCTTCTCACAATTTATCTCAACACCGAAGAGAAACTTTCAGGCAAGAGGCTTCTATAGGGGAAGAGGGGAAGTATATATACATTAATTACTATACAAATAAATACTGTACAAGCTAAAAGCTACTATATATATAATATTACACACTTCTATTAGTCCCTTTAAGCTTTTTCCCTTAATTCAGTCCAGGAAAAGCTCTTCAGGCTGATAGGTAACCAGTCTTTCTCTCGTGGGAGTGTTCAGAGAAAAGGGTTCACTCCCCCCACCAACCTCCAGCTGTTTACTGAAGTCCTTTCTTCCTCAGGAAGTGCAAGAAGATAGCTCTGAGTCCTTTCTCCTTGGTTCTGTGCCATCTGTGCTCTGTTATTCTCTCTCTCATACCTCGGTTCCGTGCTGCTGTAGTTTAGTTCGGCTTATCACATGTACATGTCCTGGAATCTTCATTCCTCCTCTGAGTTTTCGACCGTCTTCCATTTTAGATCACTGCAAGGACATCCTCCGGGCCTCTCTCTGGTCCATCTCCAATTTTGCTTCAGGTTATCTCCCTGGCACGGAGCTGCATTCTGCCCATCCACTTTGGCTCTGCTCCAATGCCGAGCCTCCCCTCCACTTTACAGCGAGAGGGGAAGGAGAAGCCCCTCCGCAGTCTGGCTGCAAAGAGGGGGGAGAAGACGGTCTGGCTTCACTCTCCCTCTTACCTTCAGGTGTTGTGAATCCCTTCCTTCACAAACACACACTCACTCCAGTGCTGCCTCCAACCCTGGCTTAGACAGAGCTGTGGGCTGCAGGGGCCCCCTTCCCTCCCGGAGGGGAAAGAAAGGGGCCCTGCCACCCCTGGGGCCTTTCTCACACCCACACAGCAGCAGGCACAACAGCAGCAGACAGACAGACCGATTGCCAACAACTTCCACCAGTTGTATGTATACGATTTTTCACAGGAGCGAACAAAACGAGCGGTGATTGTCCATCCAGGGGAAACTGCCCTTCCACTCAATCACCTCTAGGCCCCCCGGCTCCCAGGGGGGGCAGTCTCAAACCATGACACCCGTATATGAAATCCAGACTGAAAAGAAGAAGAAAAATGAAAAAGAAACCAAAACATTAGACATATCTGTGACGTGCAGATACTTTTAGAGCACTAATTCTCAGGGTATCACCAGACAGAAGCCTGGATTTTGAGACCAACAGTGAAAACACAGTTAACTCTTCCTAATATATCTCAGTATTAGTCACCTGTTAATTCAGACTAAGTACTTGATAAGTCATGACTCCAGCCTCTGGGACAATTACATCAAACAAATAAAAGAGAATTCCATATGACTGCTTTATTAATCTTAAGAGGGAAAAAAAAAAGGTAAGAAAGAGCTACTCTGTGTAGGGATAAATCAATTAAAATTCTTGTATGGATTCCAAAGTGAAAAATTAAATGCTGATGAGAGAATCATTAATAAAAATTAAGAAAGATTTTTGGGTTTGTGTTTTTGTTTCGATTTTTTTTTTTTCAAGTATGGGGAAGGTTTCCATTGGTTTGTTTGTTTGTTTGGGGTTTTTTTTGTTACTAGTTGTATCTAAATAGGCTAAGGAGATCAATTTTTAAGGTATTATCCCGTGCTATACTGGGATTCAAACTGCAAATTCCCCGACTTGGTAATTTTCTTTGTGTGACTATGAAACATTTAACAACAAACATTTACAGCAGATTAAAGTGGTTGGAAATTACTCCGGGAGAAAAAAAAAAATTACATTCTCTAAAGGTAATTTTTAGATGTTTTCAAACCATTCCTCTCTTAGGCCACCAAATAAACTATTTAAACTCACTGAAAATTAACTGAAAATTCTGGAACCTTGTGGTTAAGAGCTTGGGAAAATGAAAATATATGATCTGAGTGAAGAAAAAAATGTCTTCCTGGTCTTTTATAATAGGTGAGTCTCAGCAAAGCTTTCGAAAGCTCTGCTCCCTGTTTGATTTAGAGTTGAACATTTGGCCTTTTTCACTGAAGGCAAAGGCTTTCCTGCACTACACTTGAAAATATGTATATTTTGAAATCACCAAAGATAGATATTTAACACTGACTTACTATATTCAAACTATCTGAATTGTTTCAATGAATAATATTCACAGCCAAAGTTAAACTGGCCATTAGCAGTTTGTGCAGAGTATAGCACCTCTTTCCATTCTGCATATCAAATTCCACTTCATTTATGGAAGTTAATAATTAATTAAGTTAAATAAAAAAAATTTATAGAACCATGTGAACTTGGCATCTGAAGTGTTCTGCAACTTGATGGGGGTTTTTATCATAGAATCATTAAGGATGGAACAGATCTCCAAGATCATCAAATCCAACCTTTGACTGAGCACCACCCTGCCCACTAAACCACAAGTGTCCCATTTACTCATTTTCTGAACATTTCCATGGATGGTGATTCCACCACTGCCCTCGGCAGCCCATTGCAATGTTTAACAACTTTTTCAGTGAAGAAATTTGGCCTAATATCAAACCTGAACCACCCCTGGTGCAACTTGAGACCATTGAGAATATTGGGTAGTGCATTGTAACATATAACTTTTACTTAACAGCCATGTATTACATACCAGGATGAAAGAAGGCATAACCAACCTCAAAACTCTACCAGGTTGTATTTCTTGGGGCTGATAAGAGCAGCTGTGCAGCAGCCCTGCAGTCAGTGTTCCCAGACTGATCCAACCTGAGCCCAGAGTAATCAATTCCAAATTAAGTGATATGTCAAAGCACCCAAGTGAAAACAGATACTGTGGGGCTGGACCACAACAGAGCCACTAATTTGACCACAGGGCTGGAGCCCCTCTTCTCTGGAGCCAGGCTGGGAGAGCTGAGAGCCCCTTCCAGCCTAAAGGGGTTCCAGGAGAGCTGGAAAGGGACTTTGGACAAGGGATGGATGGGACAGGACAAGGGGAATGGCTTCCCACTGCCAGAGGGCAGGGTTAGATGGGATATTGGGAAGAAATTGTTCCCTGTGAGGGTGGGGAGGCCCTGGCCCAGGTTGCCCAGAGAAGCTGTGGCTGCTCCTGGATCCCTGGAAGTGTCCAAGGTCAGGTTGGATGGGGCTTGGAGCAACCTGGGCTAGTGGGAGGTGTCCCTGCCCATGGCAGGGGGTGGAATAGGATGAGTTCTAAAGTCCCTTCCAACCCGAACCATTTTGTAATTCTGTGATTTCCGCTAACACTCTACTGCTGTGCTACCCATCCCTTTCCTGGGTGCACCACGGTGGGAAAGACCCTCGAGTATTATTATCTACCATGGTAGTATTGAAGAAAAAAAGCAAATGTATTGTTGTTATTAAAAGAAAAGTTTTTCTTCCCTCAGTGTTGTTTTCTCATGGGACAAATGCTGCCTGTAATCCTGAGTCTGCACAGCACGTTTTCTTTAAAGGAATAGACTAAGTTAATACCTATTTTACATAAGAAGTGCATTTGTATGGCATATGAAAGACAAATATTTGAGTTTGTACTCTGACTCCTTCAGTATTTCACATCCCAGGGATGTGCCCTACCAAGTGGGCCAGGGGTTAATTCTCTCTTACTTGGATTCTTCATTCTTGGAAACTGTTTCAAAGGTTGAGGGGTTTTAAATTTTTTTTCCATAAAGAAAAAGAAATACTTGAAAATCTGAATAACATTGACTAAAAAGTGAAGACAGCTCATGAGGCTTAATTAGTTGACCCCAGAAAACTGAAACTATTTTCCTAAGACCCAGATTTTAAGGCACAAATCTGACCATTGGCAGGCATTGCTCTGCAGGCACTCACTGCTTCAGCTCAAAGGGAGGCAGGCCCTGGTTTGCTACCTGTAGATTTCCAGTGTCTTCATCTCGGCACATTTTCTTGTCTGGCTTTACTGCCTCATCTCCCTGGAAAGCACAGAGGTGAAAACAAACAGCCAGGCAGGACCACAGGGAATGCAGATTGGCTAAAACCAGAAACTCCCACAGACTGGCCGGAGAATTCTGTCTCTACCTTTAGTTCCTGCCCTCTCAGGTCTTACCTTCACAGGAGGACAACAAAACACCTCCTGCAGCCTAGGAATTACATCTGGATTGAAAAAATAAATCACAGATTCAACAGTAGTATGAGCCTTATAATATTAAAAAATTTGTTCTTTAGCCCCTGATAACACCTTCCTGTTCCTATATACACTAATTAGAGAGACAACTCATCACCTCTTCCCCTGTTAACAGTTTCTTTCTATTGCCAGAGTTAGCTACTTCTGTCTTATCAAACTTCTCTCAGTCAGCATTTGGCTTGAAGTTTGCCCCTGTTTTATCTAATGAGGACACAGCACAACCCAAACCTCATCTGCTTTTTCCAGATATAATATATCATGTGGTCTAATAAAAGATACTTGGTATATCTTCCTATGAATTTTGCATCTTTCAGACCTCTGGGCAAACACAATTCCAAGCTCACTTACTGCAGTATCCTTCTCTTTCAGTACCAAATAGAATTTATTCAGTCTCTTCAGAGGTTTACTGGATGAAAAGTCCACAAAGTTCACAGGAAAATGGTCATATTTAGTACCCAGGCTGTATTTTCTAGGTTTACGTGGCTTGTTGAGCCATATCTCAATGTTTAGGTAACAGCCACCACAGCAAAGACATGCTGAAAAGCTGCTCTAATATATGTGACTTATAATTACCTGATTTGATGCACTTTTTATACATCCTTTCTGAATACAGGTGTTTTTCTAAGGCTGTTTGCAAAATCCAGAAAGTATAAAGTAAGGTTTATTCCATGCAGGAACCCTGTGGTCTGGGAAGAATTTCCTCTCTCAAAGACTGGTGTCTTATTTTCACACAGGATTTCTTTTTGCTGAGTATGTGGTGCAGTGACTGCCTTTTATGCAAAAATCTGTGATAAGAAGATCTAAACCCAGTCCTGCTAAGAATGAGGAACTGGCAAATATGGTGAGTAAAGGTGTTGCTTCAAAGTTAGGAGTAGGCTTTTTGAGATGGCTCTTGCTTTGGGATCCCCTTCTTGTCCACTACCTCCTTATTCTGTAACATCTTACATAGCAACAAATACCTAAAAGTAGGTACTGAAGCACTACTAAACGTACTACTGAAGACTCCCAAAGAGTGCAAAGTTGACAATTGTCTGGCCAATCATTCTCCAAGACCTTGGGAAGTGTTCTTCTTCGATAACTAACAGCAGGAAGTCCAAAACCCAAAAGAATTTTAACAAAGGTTAAACTCCTTGACCTGAGGATAAAGCTGTTGGAAAGCGAGAAGCAGCCAGACAGGAGATACAGCACTACTTGGAGACATTCCACTCTGCCAACAGTGCCATATTTTTACCTGCCTGTCACTAAAAAAACATGTTTTTATGTTACATTTGTAATTAAATTGGTATTTACACACAAGGAGAAAAAGCAGCCTAAGAGAGTGTCATAGCTGTGCATCCTTTGAAGAAATTTTGCAGACAAGAAAATATTAAAAAGATATTCTGTCTAAAGGTAGAAGATAAACAAAAGGTGTTATAGTCTGAAAATGAAGCCAAAACACTTCAGCAGTCAGCAATAAATAACCAAAAAAGAAAGGAGGAAGGGGAAAAAAAAAAAGAACAAAACAAGCCTCCAAAAGAGGTACTTGGTATAACAGTTTGTATGTTCAAAACATACAAATGTACGCAGGAAAGACCAGATGCTTTTAGTGTCATAACATGACTAGAACACTGTCTGTGGAGTTCTCCAAAGAATACCTGTAATCTACACACATTTTCCCAAATAAATTCTGTTATTTAAGATTCACTTCTATTACATGACATGGGTGTAAGACATTGAAACATGAATGCAGTCAAAGACCATTTTAGTACACTTCACGGCAGCTCAGGCTGTAATGGAAAGCCAGGGTTATGCATCTAATTTTCAGTTGTGCTGGATACATGATTGCCTCCTTGAGTGGCAATCACAAATTATTATCAAAGGGCAACATAAATGGCATTCAGATTTCAACGGCTGAGCTCATTATGACATTTAGAGCACTTACCGCTTATTGTGAGTTTTGCTGATTGCTGCTAATCCACAGATGACAAATATTGCAGAGCACCTCAGACAACCAGAGCCATTTTCTCCAATTCTTTATCTCAGCTGACTTCTTGTTTTGTAGGTAATTTGACTGTAGTCAGCAGCCTACAGGGAAAAGACAGGAGAAAACCGGTAGTCAGCTTGAGTTAGGTGTGACATCAACTGTCCAACCACACACAGAACTGTGGTCAGTTTACATGAAAGGAGAAGCTGAAATGTTGCAGACTTCCTGAGGGACTGAAAGCCCAAATTGTCCCATTTTGTCACAACTTGAATTCGGTAAGCCATTTCAAACCTTCTCACCGCAAGAAAAGTATCAAGGAGAATTTAACTGAGGTGTGTTTCTGTAGGAACAGAAATAGGAGAGGGAAGAGCTGGAGGTAAGGCCTTGGCAGAGGGGTTGGGACTACGTGACCTTTAAGGTCCTTCCAACCCAAACCATTATAAGATTCTATGAGTCCATTTCAGAGTAGCAACTAAATCTTCCAAATATCAGCTTGAAAAGGTAGAACTATGAAGATACTATTTTTTTCAGACCAAAACCAAACCTGTTAATATCTTTCCATTTAGAGATTAAAAAAGTGCCTGTACAGATGAGTTAGTTGGGTGTGGGCTGACATTGTGGAAATCAAATCCCTCCCTGCTGATTAAACATCAAGAAAAGTGAAATGCTGATAAGGGCATTCACCAATTACAAAATCAACCAAGTAGTGTCTGAGGACTGGATATGTTCCACAGGACTTCTTTTATTTAAGTCTCTGGCGATGCTGCTTTGTAAGCAGTGCTCTGTGTGTGCCTGAGAAAGGGGTGAACATCTTGCTTGAGGCAAGTCTTGCTCCATCAGACACACATTTGGAGCTGCTGTGAGTAGGAGGAGCTCCCAGGTATGCAAAAATCAGACACCACTGGCACTCTAGAACTTCTGGTGACAGTGTCATGAACTACTTCATGTATCATTTGCCAGAATTTGTTCTGTAACAGGCAAAATATCTGTAAAATATCCATTTCACTTCCCTGACCTGTTAGCAGCTTTTCCTAGCAGGTTAATCAATGGTGAGGGTGCTCTCAATTGTGCATTGTTTGCATGTGTCCTGCTCTCCCCGGCTTTAATTTGCTTTCCCTGCACTGCCTGGGAGAAAACACTTCTCAGTGTTAGGTAACACTTCTCAGGGATAAAGCTTCTCAGGTAATAAAAATTACTATGTTTAATACTTCAATGCAAGTGATCAGGAGCTTTACAAACAGAAAGGTACTTAAAATCATGTTAACACACAGTAATATAGGAATCAAACACGTGAAAGAGAGTAGGTTTAAATTGGGTACTGGGGAGAAATTCTTCCCTGTGAGGGTGCTGAGGCACCAGGTTGCCCAGAGAAGCTGTGGCTGCCCCAGCCCTGGAAGTGTCCAAGGCCAGGATGGACAGGGCTTGGAGTAACCTGGGTTGGTGGGGGGTGCCCCTGCCCATGGCAGGGGGTTGGAACTGTATGGTCTTCAAGGTCCCTTCCAAGCCAGAATATTCTGTGACTCTATGAAATTATACCTTTGCCTTTAATCTACTATTTCTTTTTTCTTCCTTAGTTGTATTTCTCAGCTTACTTTCTTACCTTACTTTGTATTTCATGCAGCAGTTGGACTAAACCAACCTAAAGAACTCATCAACCCATACTTAACTCTAAAAGAGGAACCTCCAGACATCTCTCACACAGAGTTTTAGAGAGCTTTAAGGATTATTTCAAAACGTCCACAGAGGAGCTATTACAGTATTTATCTATACTATATGTATCAAAAATCTTCCCTGTTTAAAAGTCACAAGACAGAAGTGGTTTACTTCTTTCTGCTCCTTTCTGTATCACTTCACTAAATGTACACTAGCAATGAAACAATGTCCTTATCTTCAGTGACATTTTTAACCATCTAGTGTCAAAACAGTTTGCAAAGCAGGTGCCAGCCCTTACCTGCATTTCACAGATATGTAACATGAACCAAGGAGAGGCTGAGGCCAGAGCTGCCCCAGCCCAGGGGGCTTCCCTGCTGTGGCTGTGTTTGAGTCCTCATCATGCCAGAAGTAACCAAAACCTGCCAACCAGAATTCAAGTTTAGATCATGCACCAAAATTATTTCACTTTCTTAGTAGATTTTTCCCTAGGTTAGCGGCTCAAGGGATGTATTAATGTTGCCTAAGAAAAGCAAACAAATAATATTTGTGTGAAGTCAAATATCTTGGACTGAAGATAAAGACAATTATAGACACTTGAAAAATGTTGTGAGTGTTGAATTTTCTTACAAACATCACAATCTACTAAGCTGTGACCCAAAGAAAACTTCAGCAGTGAACTACCCTGGCTGCTTTGCACTACCCTTTCCCTCTTCTGATATCTCTTTGCATTTGTGTGCCAGAGGAAACAGAGTGGTCTGTGTTTCAAGTTCTTCCTGAAGGTATTGGTAGTCACAGAGGAAACCTGTTCAAAATCTTCTCCTGCCACATTGCTCCTCTATCACACGATGCAATGATTTACATTAATAACAGCAGAGTGCAGAGAAGACCTGCTGAGCCTTTAATAAACTTCCTTTTTCCAATCACTTAAAACGTTCTTTAAAGTTGCAACTGAAGTAATACAAAGCCTGCATAACAGTACACTTGACATTTATGATCTTGGCAATAAATTTGATTTCCATTTTTACAATGTCTGCTTTTGATTAATTGTAAAAAGTTTACTACATATACTTCTAGAGAAACAGTGGAATGGTTAATAAACTATATTCTTCCTGATAATACTAAATTATAATGCAGCCTTGAACCACATACATTAAATGCAAAATGCTACAAAAAGCCAAATGCTCACAAGTTCAACTTACATTACTGTTGCCATTAGGGAATAATTGTGAGGCAGCCTCAATTTCTTCTAGCCTTGGCATGTATTAATGTTGTGCACAATTCTGTACAGGTTTGAAGTTAAAACTTCAAACGTTCAAATGTAAGCAACATTTGTCATGCATCTTAAAAACCCTTATTTTTCATAGTACAGCATGATTAAGTTCGAATAGCAAGAGATTGTAATCTAGACTTGAAAAAAAATCTAGACTTAAAAAAAAAAACCAACCCTCTATTATTATTTTTCATCATGACATAAGTGAAACCCAAGGAATGTAATTATGCCAGAATTCTGCCACAGAAAAGACCCGGCAGTGAACTGTGTGGGGTGCAATTTTATCACTTTAGGAAACTGTCTCACCTGGTACTCATGGGTCCTTTTCTGGGAGGGTGCCAAAGCTGAAGGATAATGGAAATATAATGAACAGCTGCAAATTAAATTATGCTGTTGTAATGTGGCATTATTTGGCATAAATGATTTCATTGCAATTAAGAAAACAGATCCATAGCCCATAGCAGGTGGTTGTCGATGTAGCACTAGGTAAGTTGGCCTGCTGACAGAAAAGACAGCAAGAGAAAAGATCCTGCATACAGAAGCAGGTCTGCTCTCCAGTGCAATAAACAAAAAGCTGCATTATTAAAGGATCAACTGATATTAGAAAGAATCAAAATAGCCACTGTATAAACATTTCTGAAGTGTTTGTCTGACTCGGTGCAGAGGCCAAAACCAGACCTGTGTAGTGTTCAAATCTCATTAGCACCTCACCAAATAGGTGTGAAATGATGGATGTGCTAGGACTTGTTATCTGCCCAAGAGTTCGCTGTTCTCCTAATTACTGTGTGCAACTAAAATCAGCATTTTTAGAAGCTCATTTTGCTTGCAATTCTTCCCCTTGCAGACAGTCCTGCCACACTCAGCAGCTGAAATAAATCAGATTTCATAATAGTTTTGAGAAGACTAACCAAAAATCGTGCTCTCAACACTTTCCATCCTCTCTGGTGGTTTTTGGGTTGAATTGTGGCTCATTTCTATCACAGAAAAACATTGCTTTCATTGGTATGTCTTTGCCCTAATTGCTTGTGAATTTGTAACATTTTAAAATCAGCCACTATCATCTACATGTGACAGATAAAGCGGCGAACAAGGGAAAAATCAGGTAATTGCTCATTACGGCTGAGTACAATTTAAGTAGAGAGGGTGTCTACACCCAAGAGGGTGTCCTCTTGGCCCATTTCATCTGAGCTTGAACACCAAATGAGGATGCACTCCACAGATTGTTCAATGTGCAGCTGAAAGTTCCATATATACAAGGAGCTCCACTCCTATGAAACTCCACTTAGTCAAGGCCAGGTTGGATGGAGCTTGGAGCAACCTGGTCTAGTGGAAGGTGTCCCTGTCCAGGACAGGGAGGTTGGAAAAAGATGAGTTTAAGGTCTCTTCCAACACAAACCACCATAGTATTCTATGTTTCTATGAAACATAGTTCCCTCACCCTGAGGGCTGTGCAGACAGGTAACAGCACAGCACAAAGCAGTACAGAAGAGCTCATGGAGAGCAAATCCTCCAGGTGACATAAAAATCTATACAGCCATAGGGGACAACTTGTTTACATGTACCAAAAACAATGCAACAGCTAAGGCTGAACATGTATGTCAACAGGGTCCATTCAGTGAAACTTGCACAAGACTATGAAAAAGAGTATTTTTAAAATCCATATAAATGGACTCAAAGTATTTATGGTAACTCAAGACAAACCTGAACACGTGCCCAAGCCTTGAGAGGTTTTTGTGCTCTATATGGTCATCAGTGATGTTCCCCAGGCTCAATATCCAGGCCAGTCCTGTTTAATACCTTCATCAATGATATGGACCAGGGGGTGATTGCCCTCAGCTGGTTTGCAGATGACACCAAGCTGGGTAGGACAGTGGATCTGCTGGAGGGCAGGAAGGCTCTGCAAAGGGATCTGGACAGTCTGGATTAATGGGCCAAGGGCAATTGTATGAAATACAACAAAGGCCCAGTGCCGGGTCCTGCCCTTGGGTCACACCAACCCCTGCAGCTCCAGGCTGGGGCAGAGGGGCTGCAAAGCTGGGAAAGGCCCTGGGGGTGCTGGTGACAGCGGCTGGACACGAGCCCGGGTGTGCCCAGGGGGGCAAGAAGGCCAAGAGCCCCTGGGCTGTGCCAGCCACGGTGTGGGCACAGGCCCAGGACAGTGCTCGTCCCTGTGCTGGCACCGCTGAGGGACAGCGAGGGCTGGGCCCAGTTCTGGGCCCTCAACAGGAGAGACCCGGAGGGGCTGGAGCGTGTGCAGGGAAGGGAACGGAGCTGGGGAAGGGGCTGGAGCAGCAGGAGCGGCTGAGGGAGCTGGGGGGGCTCAGCCTGGGGGGACCTTCTGGCTCTGCAAGTCCCTGACAGGAGGGGGGAACCGGGGCGGGTCGGGCTCTGCTCCCAGGGAACAAGGGACAGGAGGAGAGGGAACGGCCTCCAGCTGTGCCAGGGGAGGTTTTCACTGGATATTAGGTAAAATTTCTTCATGGAAAGGGTTGTCAAAGCTGCCCTGGGCAGTGGTGGAGATGCCGTCCCTGGAATTGTTCAAAAACTGTGTGGCTGTGGCATTGGAGGACATGGTTTAATGGTGAACAAGATGGTGGTGCTGGGTTGATGGCTGGATACGATGATCTTAGAGGTCTTTCCCAACCTTAATGATTATATGATTCCATGATTCAAAAGCTCTATTTGCTTTAAGTCCAATAATTCACTCCAGAATTTCAGACCAGAAGTTTAACAGCCTCCAGGCAGGTGTTTTTCCAGAATGGTGCATAAGAGATTTTCCCAGTATCCCTCTGCAGAGCCTCCTATCAGCTGCCATTTGAGACAGGTAAGGGGAGCTCTGGCTTTGTCCAGATTGCAATTCCTATGTCTCAGAAAGGATCCATTGGAGAGCAATAACATAAGCACCTGATAAACATCAGAGATTCACATCAGCTGAAGTTCTGGAGACAAAGTGGACTATGTTTGTTGCTCAAAACCAAGACAATACAACTCTTCTCTGTTTTTCAAGGTCTATTCACTAAGTTTTTTGGAACTAAACTGAGATCTTGCAGCTGTTCTAATCCAGTGCTACCACCAGACAACCTTTAGTACTAGAAAACATCCAAAAAATCAAGAATAACTAATAGTAAAAGAGACTATAAAAGATGTTAAAACAGACTGAGACTGGATCTTAATTAGAAAAGCTCTATAGAAGAAGCCAAAGAAGCTATCAAACTTAAAAACAGAATTACAAAAAAGGTGCAAGGTTCATACTCAATGGATTCCCAACTCTCACATTAACTCACAGAATCATTAAAGCTGGAAAAGACTTCCAAGATCATCAACCACAGCCTTTCACCAAACACAACCTTGTCCCCCAGCCCAGAGCACTGAGTGCCACAACCAGGCCTTCCTTGGACACCTCCAGGGATGAGGACTCCACCACCTTCCTGGGCAGCCCCTGCCAAGGCCTAACCACCTTTTCCAGGGAGAAATTCCTCCTCCTGGCCAACCTGAGCCTCCCCTGGCACAGCTGGAGGCCGTTCCCTCTCCTCCTGTCCCTTGTTCCCTGGGAGCAGAGCCTGACCCAGCTCCCTTCTCCTGTCAGGGACTTGCAGAGCCAGAAGGTCCCCTTGAGCCTCCTTTTCTCCAGGCTGAGCCCCTCCCAGCTCCCTCAGCCACTCCTCATAGGACTTCCAGACCCTTCCCCAGCTCCACTGCCCTTCTCTGGACCATAAATTCCCCCACCTATCTTGGTCCTTCTGCTTCTCAAACCCTGTTTTTGAAACTCTCAAGAGCAAGGCTTCAATAATTTTCTCTAAACCTCTTCACATTCTTGTACCATGCCAGTTCCAGTGTTTGGGGACACTCTGTGCATCAGCAATGCAGCTACAGACCCCAGAGGGCAGGAGGCAGAAACTTCTTCAAGAAAAGCTTCTGACTGTGGGAACACAACTCTGAACAAAACAAAAAATGCAGTTTTAACCATGCCAGCTTCAGATAACAGTGTGAAATCTGCTCGTCAAGGACCCAGGAAGGATATTTTAGGTTCAGCCTCCCCTGGGGACCATCTCTTTCTGAATGCTATGTCAGACACACAAAGCCTTTCAGTACTCCTTCTTTACAACTTACTCCTGACTCCAGCACCACAGGCCACACTGC